TCTTACATGTGACTGCCTTGCTGAGAACCTACTTTTTGGTTCTAATGGTTTGTCAGTTTATTATTTTGGTTCTTTTCGGTATTGTACTATGATTTGCAAATGGTGGCAATTCTACCTTCTTGTAATCTCTATTTATCTCTTTCCTTTCCCTTTCCCTTTCTTTCTTTCCCTTTCTTTCTTTCCTTTCTTCCTTTCCTTTCTTTTCTTGCTCTGTTGCTTAGGCTAGAGTGCCGTGGTATCAGCCTAGCTCACAGCAACCTCAAACTCCTGGGCTCAAGTGATCCTCCTCCCTCAGCCTCCCAGTAGCTGGGACTTACAGGCATTCGCCACCATACCCAGCTAATTAGTTGCCGGGATAATTTTTTCTATTTTTAATAGAGATAGGATCTCACTGTTCATCAAGCTGGTCTTGAACTCCTGAGCTCAAGCAATCTTCCTGCCTCAGCCTCCCAGAGTGCTAGGATTACAGGCATGAGTCACTGCTCCTGGCCTTCTGTTTATATTTATTATTTTAAAAATTCTATTGTATAGGTTGTGACCTCTGGGAAAATAGGAAAAACAGTAGGGATACTTGCCTTCGTGACTTTGCTGGAAATGTTTCTAATATTTTACCCTGAAGTATTACATTGTTTAGGTCCTTTTATCAAGCTAAACAACTAAAACCCAAAGAAAATTATCCGGGCACAGTGATGCGGGCCGATAGTCCCAGCTATGGGAGGCTAAGGCAGAAGGATCGCTTGAGCCCAGGAGTTTGAGGTTGCTGTGAGCTAGGCTGATGCCACGGCACTCACTCTAGCCTGGGCAACAGAATGAGACTCTGTCTCAAAAAAAAAAAAAGAAACTTTTATTTATTTTATTTATTTATTTTTTTAGAAAGAGTCTCACTCTGTTGCCAGGGCTAAAATGCCGTGGCATCAGCCTAGCTCACAGCAACCTCAAACTCCTGGGCTCAAGCGATCCTTCTGCCTCAGCCTCCCGAGTAGCTGGGACTACAGGCATGCACCACCATGCCTAGCTAATTTTTTCTATATATATTAGTTGGCCAATTAATTTCTATTTATAGTAGAGACGGGGTCTCACTCTTGCTCAGGCTGGTTTCAAACTCCTGACCTCAAGCAATCTGCCCGCCTTGGCCTCCCAGAGTGCTAGGATTACAGGAGTGAGCCACTGCGCCCAGCCTAAGAAAAGTTTCTTAGCTTGTTTGGCTGATTTCTTTCTATTTATAGTAGAGACGGGATCTCGATCTTGCTCAGGCGGGATTTCAGCTCAGGAGCTCAAACTCCAGAGCTCAAGCGATCCTCCTGCCTCAGCCTCCCGGAGTGCTAGGATTACAGGCGTGAGCCACCGTGTCCAGCCAGAAACTTTTATTTCTTATTTTTATTCCCAGTATTAACTGATGTTTTGGCACATACTGAGATTTTTCTCTTTTGATTGCCTAAAATCATAAGTAATAAAGCCCCTATTTGATCAAGATGTATTATAATTTTGAGATTTTTCTGAGTTTAATTTGCTAATATTTTATTTATAATTTTTATTATGTAATTCATAAATGAGATTGACTTATAAAGAACAATGCCTTGTTAAACCAGACATTAATTCCAGATTAAAAGAACTACAGATTTCCTCTTCTTCAGAAATTTGGCTTAGGAACTATTCATTATTTTATATATATATATATATATTGGCCAATTGATTTCTATTTATGGTAGAGACAGGGTCTTGCTCTTGCTCAGGCTGGTTTTGAACTCCTGACCTCAAACAATCCGCCCATCTCGACCTCCCAGAGTGCTAGGATTACAGGTGTGAGCCACCACGCCCAGCCCTTTAACTACATCTTGGCTATAATATTAGAACTTTCCTAGTATTTTTGATTATAAGAACAGTCTCATTTTTGGTAATTAAGACTGTCTTATGCATTTTTAAAGACTTTATGTAAAATTCATTCTTCCTGAAAAGAGTGACTCTTCCCATACTTTTCCCTTCTTTCATGTGTTAGGACAGAGAGGAAAAAAGGCAGACATGTTATTAAGCTGGGTGAAACTGTCATCTTCTCTTTTTAGATTGTGGCTTCCTCTCTGGCTAACACTGACTGTTCCTCATTCCTTATTATCAAGCATTTAAATGTTTCATTGCCATGTGTAGATTCTTCCTGGCCCAGTCTATTGGCAGCTCACTGACAACTTTCTGAACTTAGAATATGTAGTAATTAGCATCTTTTGTGCTTAGTTTAAGCTTTAGTGGAATTCTGGGACTATAGGAAACTTCCATTCAATATACTATGAAATTTTTTTTTTTTTTTTGAGACAGAGTTTCACTCTGTTGCCTGGGCTAAAATGCCGTGGGGTCAGCCTAGCTCACAGCAACCTCAAACTCCTGGGCTCAAGCAATCCTCCTGCCTCAGCCTCCTGAGTAGCTGGGACTACAGGCATGCGCCACTGTGCCCAGCTAATTTTTTCTATATATATTAGTTGGCCAATTAATTTCTTTCTATTTATAGTAGAGACAAGGTCTCACTCTTGCTCAGGCTGGTCTTGAACTCCTAAGCTCAAGCAATCCGCCTGCCTAGGCCTCCCAGAGTGCTAGGATTACAGGCCTGAGCCACCGAGCCTGTCTGAATATCCCATGAAATTAAAGTCAGTGTCTCACAATTCAGTAGGAGAATAGTCAGTCTTTCCAGAGAGGGTATTTATGTCAAGTGGATATTATAGAGCACTTATCAATGCAAAGTTTTCATACCTATAATGTTAGATCTGTATTTTAAAATAATACAACCTCTAGTTCAGCAGATACATATGGTACAAATGAAAAAAAAAAGAAGAAAAAATAAAATAAAATAATACAACCTCTAGGAATCTTCATCCCAGCATATCCATATTCTAGAATCATGCCAGATATACTTTTTAAATGTAAGTTAATTTAAATTTACATTAATGAAACTTAAATAAAAAATTCAGTTTCTTAGTCACAGTAACCACATTTGATATGCTTAATTAGCCACATGTGACTAATGGCTACTGGATAGCACTGAACATTTTGATCATTGAAGAAAGTACTTCTCTTAGAGAATAAAGGTGAGAAAGTCAGATCCATAGACTCTATTGTATATACTGAGGACTAAAGTCCAATCTTTTTCTTTTGCCCAAACTCCTTTCTAAGGGGCCTGGTGAGTCATGCCTACAAATGACAAGTCTTCACTAACCAAGTTTTGTTAACCCAATATAATGTGGTTTACTTCCCAACTTGATTCTGTATAGCATCACACGAAAGATAGAAGACCCTTATCTTAATTCAAGCATTTCTTTCTGCTGACTCCTGGTCTTTTAGACAAAGCATTACTCTTTCAGCCAATTGTCAACTAAAGAATCCCTAAACCTACCTATGACTTATAAGCCCCCACTTTGAGATGTTCCACCTTTTTGGGCCAAACCAATGTATGCCTTCCATGTATTGATTTATGACTTTACCTGTAATTCCTGTCTCCCTGAAATGTATAAAACCAAACTGTAACCCAGCCACAGTGAGTCCACTTGCTTAAGGCTTCTTGGGTATGGCTCCAGGTCATGGTCCTCAATTTGGCTCAGAATAAACCTATTTAAATTATTTTACAGAGTTTGACTTCTTTTTCATTGACAAGGTCAGCCAGTTGCTCTGTTTCAGTTTTTTTTCCTTGCCCATGTGAAGGAAGTTTGTGAAAGGGAGAAAAGTTGCCACATTCCTGTATACTATGATGATTTCAAATTCATCTGATATTTAGCTTTCAAGTGAAAGTGTCAAACAACTACTAGTGCAAACATAGTTTCAGCAGCAGGATTAAGAGTTCAGTCATTTCCACCCACAAGAGACAAATTCTCTAGTTCATCCTTCTTATTTCCCTTTATTCCCTCATTTCTCAGATAAGGGTTGGCACAACTTCAGTCATAAGACAAGGTAAGACTAAATAGAAAGGCAAATGTTTGTATATATGTGTTAGCGTGTATGTATGTACCTTTTGGGAGAAGACTTCTAGAATAATAAATTCTTATTACTTTTGCACCAAGCACATAGGTATCATCTAATGGAATGCTTGCTCACATTTTACATTTAAGTAAACTGAGGCTGGAGAAAGTGATTGCCTAAGATCATATCAATAGTTAATGGTAGCTGGGCGTGGTGGCTCATGCCTGTAATCCTAGCACTTTGGGAGGCTGAGGTGGGAGGATTGCTTGAGGTCAGGAGTTCGAGACCAGCCTAAGCAAGAGTGAGACCTCATCTCTACTAAAAATATAAAAATTAGCTGGGTCTTGTGGTATGTGCCTGTAGTCCCGGCTACTTGGGAGGCTGAGGCAAGAGGATCTCTTGAGCCCAGGAGTTTGAGGGTGCTGTGAGCTAGGCTGATGCCATGGCACTCTACTCAGAGCAACAGAGACTCTACCTCAAAAATAAAAAATAGTTAATGGTAGATCTGGGACTAAAACTTGTGTTCCATACCCCCAAATCAAATCAATAAATTATTTATCTTTCCTTTTTAATTCATAATCCACTACTGTTGCTGCAGATACAATGGCAAAGGTTTAGAGATATGACTAATTAATTATTACAATGATTTCCTTTTTTTTTGTTTTTTTTTTTTGAGACAGAGTCTCACTTTATTGCCCAAGCTAGACTAAGTGCCATGGCGTCAGCCTAGCTCACAGCAACCTTAAATTCCCGGGCTCAAGCAATCCTGCTGCCTCAGCCTCCCAAGTAGCTGGGACTACAGGCATGCGCCACCATGCCTAGCTAATTTTTTCTATATATATTAGTTGGCCAATTAATTTCTTTCTACTTATAGTAGAGATGGGGTCTCGCTCTTGCTCAGGCTGGTTTCGAACTCCTGATCTCGAGCAATCCGCCCGCCTGGGCCTCCCAGAGTGCTAGGATTACAGGCATGAGCCACTGCACCCGGCCTACAATGATTTTCTTATTTAAAGAAATGTTGCTTTTATGTGTTTTAAAGAGTTAGCTAATTATAATTATTACAGATTGAAGAAGAAGAGAGGAAAAAAATAGAAGATATGAAAGAAAATGAACGGATAAAAGCCACTAAAGAATTGGAAGCTTGGAAAGAATGTCAAAGAAAAGTTGAAGAACAAAAAAGAATTCGGAGAGAGGAGAAATTACATCAAAAAGAAAAGCAAATTGAAGAAGAAAGAAAAAATTTAAAACATAAAAGTCTTCCTAGAAATTCATCTAGATATCTTGCCACAAAAGGTATAATGATTACTTTAATATTTTCTGGAAAAGTGAGTCCTTTTGGTGAAGTATATATGACACTTTTTTAAGAAATAAATCTGTTCATGATATTAAGTCATTACTTTACTATATTGAGAAGCAGAAAGACCAGGTGCAGTGAATTACACCTATAATCCCAGCACTTTGGGAGGTGGGGGTGGGAGGATTGCTTGAGACCAGGAGTTCAAGACTGGTGTGAGCAACATAACAAGATTGTGTCTCTACAAAAATAAAAATAATTAGTGGGCATAGTGGCACATGCCTGCCGTCCTAGCTGCCTGGGAGGCTGAGGCAGGAGGATCATTCGAGCCCAGGAGTTTGAGGTTACAGTAAGCTATGATCATGCCACTATCAGGGCAACATAGTGAGACCCTATCTTTTAAACAAACAAACAAAGAATAAGCAATATAATACAAAGACTAAGGTAAAAGACTTGTTTCTTTTTTTTAGGGGGTAGTGAAGTTTTCTAATTAATTAATTCAGGATTCAGAGAAGAGTGTCTTCTTTGCTTGTGTGTTTCCTTTTAAATTTATGCAGGTATTATTGAGTATGTGCTTAACCCAGGTCCAAAAAGATTTGGAGTGAACTAGCAGTGTCAAGAGCATTCATTTATTCCTTTAGAGATAAGAAACTAGGAATTTAATTAAAAGACCTTTTTTGTCATATTACTCAAGAAAATGAGTACTATAAGCAATTTTAGTCTTAAGAAAACAAGAGTTGCTTCTGGCTTTTAATCCTGATGTATTAAAAAATAGATTAATGAATATAATTCTTTTTTGAAAACTAAGAGTTGTATTTTATCTGACTTTACATTATTAATCTTTGGGATATATTTAATATTTCCTTGTATAAGTTATTGAATTCCTACAATTGGAATATCATAGAGTAAAATCACTTATGTAATAATAATTAATATTTATTAGATTATCATTGTATACTAGGTGATTTTATTGCTTGTATCACTCAATCATCACACTACTTTGGGATAAATGCCTTTGTTCTCTCTCTGTTTTTTTTTTTTTCAGACAGAGTCTTGCTCTGTTGCCTTGGCTAGAATGCAGTGGCATCATCATAGCTCCATGTTGAAAGTTTGCAGTAAAAGCTTTAACCTATGTTACTACAAATAGCAAATTTCTTTTTATTTTATATTTTGCTATTTGCCTTACTTTACTCTAAGAGTTCAGAAGTTAGATATCTTTTTTTTTTTTTTAAGACAGAGTCTCACTGTGTTGCCCGGGCTAGAGTGCCATGCCATCAGCCTAGCTCACAGCAACCTCAAACTCCTGAGCTCAAGCCATCCTCCTGCCTCAGCCTCCTGAGTAGCTGGGGCTACAGGCATGTGCCACCATGCCTGGCTAATTTTTTTCTATTTTTAGTTGTTTGGCTAATTTCTTTCTATTTTTAGTAGAGACAGGGTCTCGCTCTTGCTCAGGCTGGTCTCAAACTGCTGAGCTCAAGCAATCCTCCCACCTCAGCCTCCCAGAGTGCTAGGATTACAGGCGTGAGCCACCACGCCCGGCCATAGATATCTTATTTTTATGATAACTAGTGGTCACTTTAATGCTTTTCATAAACATTTAAAAATGCTTATTTATTTGCTTTTCTGTAGCAAAATTAAGAGCAAAATAATTCTTTATTTCTCCTTATAGGAGAATAGTGCATATTTCCTCTATGTTGTATATCATAGTAATCATTAGTATCATTAGTAATCTGAATTATAATACTTCATTTTTACCTCTGTTTTTTTTCTTTTATATACCATTTAAAAATGTTATTTACAACATTTTTAGTGTGTTCTCCACTGTTTTAGATAACATATACTTTTTCATTCCCCCCCCCCATTTCCCCACTCCTGGGTTCTTAATTTTGTTTCTTCACATTCTGAAACATTTCTTTGACTGATTTATTCAGAAAAGATGACTCGGTAGCCTTAGCTGAGTAACTACATACCTGTGAATATCTTTAGCCTTTACAAGTGAGCAACAGTTTACTTGGATATAAAATTATGGGGACCTTGTATTAGGTGGATTCAAGCTAACCATTGTTAAAAAGAGATTCAAAATTACAGATCAAATAGAAAGAAATTTAGTTCTCTGTAAAGTAAGACTTTACATCACTTTGTTATATGGCAGTGGTCAACTTTGTTCCACAAATCCATCCAGGCTTGTGGGATCACCTCTATTATCACTTCATCTGGTTTCTTCCCATCTCTGGATCCATGAGACCTTTTACCCACCTCCTTTGAAATATCTATTCAGGCTCTTTTCTAGGTTTTTTGTGGGGTTTTGTGTGTGTGTGTGTGGTTATTTGTTTGTTTGTTTTGTTTTGTTTTCGATACTGGGTCTTACTCTGTCACCGAGGCTGGAGTACAATGGCTATAGCTCACTATAACCTCAAATTCCTGGGCTCAGGGTATCTCAAGTGTCAGGCTCCAGAATAACTAGGACTACAGCCACACACCACCATGCCTGGCTAAGTTTTTTATTTTTTATTATTTTTATAGTGACAGGGTCTCATTGTGTTGCCCGGGCTGGTATGGAACTCCTGGCCTCAAGTGATCCTTCCACCTTGATCTCCCAAAGTGCTGGGATTACAGCTGTGAGTCACTGTGCCTAGCTGTCCTTTTCTAGTTTTTCAAACTGGAAGTTTGGGGATTTTTTTTTCGTTTCTTTTCCTTTTTTTTTTTTTTTTGAGACAGAGTCTCACTTTGTTGCCCAGGCTAGAGTGAGGGCCCTTGCGTCAGCCTAGCTCACAGCAACCTCAAACTCCTGGCTCAAGCAATCCTACTGCTTCAGCCTCCCGAGTTGCTGGGACTACAGGCATGTGCCACCATGCCCAGCTAATTTTTTTCTGTATATATTAGTTAACCAATTAATTTCTTTCTATTTACAGTAGAGACGGGTCTTGCTCTTGCTCAGGCTGGTTTTGAACTCCTGACCTTGAGCAATCCGCCCGCCTCGGCCTCCCAGAGTGCTAGGATTACAAGCGTGAGCCACCACGCCCGGCCTGTCCAAATCTTTTTTTTCACCAGTTTTTGTATCTGCATTCAAATCTTTTTGTCACGATTTTTGCACTTTTTGCATGTTTTAAAACTACTTTTCCTTCCCTTTCTTTATATATACTATATTCAAGACATAGATTAATTTCTCCTGTTATATTGGCTTAACAATCTTTACATCTAACTACCTTTATAAAAATGTATAGCTTCTCATTACTATCCTTTGCCTGTTTTCATTAGTCATCTTCAATGGCTATAAAAACTTATATACTACACCACAACGAAGTGTATAGTAGATACTGCTGTAGTAGCTTAAGGAAATAGAGATATTATTGGCAGTGGTGGCTTTGCCTAGTTGCCCTCTTCTAGAGTTGATGTAGAGTTGCCTAGAGTACCCTCCCCTAGAGTTTATGTGAATTGAAGAGAACCCCAGGAAAGTAGCTGTGGTGTAATGAAGAGAACCCCAGAAAAGTAGCTGGGGCCATTTATTAAAGAACAGATAATTAGCTGCCATATTATCAGTGATAAATTTTATATTCCTTCTTGTAGCAAATACCTTTGGTTTATTTAGGATTTTAGAAATAGCTTTGAAGTGTAATTACTTTAAAAGTCTGTTTTATTATTAACTATAAAATGAGAAATAAATGATTTACTACCATTATTTTTGAAGGGAGAAATTTAGAAAATATATTTTCTGAGAAATTAAAGGAAGATAGTATTCCTGCTCCTCGCTCTGTTGGCAGTATTAAAATCAACTTTACCCCTCGAGTATTCCCAACTGCTCTCCGTGAATCACAAGTAGCAGAAGAGGAAGAGGTAGATATTCTTGCTTTACTTACAATTACCACAAATGAAGATGCTTTATTTTTTATTTCATCTAATGAAACTAGTACTGGTTCTGAATTAAAATATTCATTATACTAAAGCTATTACTTGAATATATTTTAGCATTTCCTTATGAGAAAATATATTTTGCAGATTTTTTTGGCTCCTAAATACTGACAGAATGGTGATTTTAATATATGTGTAGTATTGTTGCTTATTCTAAGAGATAAACTGTTATATTTGCCATTTATTTTATCAAATACATAATTTTCTATAATAGATTATTATAAACTTGGGATGAGTATGTGTTTTAGAAAGAAGAGATTTGGAAACTATTAATATATTATAATTAGTTATTACTAATAGGTATTTCTAATGTGACATTTTAGATTTAACATCTTTCATTTATAAAGTCATGAGCCTTGGAGTTCAAATATTATATCTTTAGTTATATAAGAACTAAGAATTGTATTTTTTAAATGCAAAGTGTGAATGATGCCTCTTTCAATTGAAAAGTTGTAGAAATAACTGAAGATCCTTAAGATGTAATGACAATTTATGAATATCAACTTTTTTCTTATTAAATAATATATTATTTCTATTTTTATTTCTATAATTATACAATTCTAATTACTTGAAAATTATATGCATACTTTTTAATATAAAAAAATAAGTAAGAAAAGTAAAATAATAATCATATGATCTTCCAGAAGGGATGAAATTTGAACTAGAAACTTTTATCTCTTTGATCTCAACCTATAGTGAGGTTTTAAAAATGTTTTAAAATGTTTAAATATTGGAAGTTTAAAATCACCGTCATCAAATAGTATATTAATCTGCTAGGGCTGCTATAAACAAAATACCATAGACTGAGTGGCTTAAGCAAAAAACATTAATTTGTCACAGTTCTGGAAGCTGGAAAGTCCAAGATCAGTGTGCCAACATGGTTGTGGCCCTCATCTTAACTTTCAGAGGACTGCCTTCTCACTGTGTCTCCTTGGGTGAGGAAGCCCTAATCCCCTCCTCTTTTTATAAGGGTATTAATCCTATCATGGGGACTCCACCCTCATGACCTCATCTAAACCTAATTACCTCTCAAAGGTACCTCTCCTCTACCTCCCACCTGCAAATACTGTGATATTGATGGTTAGGCCTTCATCATATGAACTTGCAGAGCTGAGATACAAATATTCAGCCCATAACAAATAATATTTCCATCCACTGGAGGAAGGTGGAGACTGTTAGAGCAACTGTCAATAAAAATAAAACATTTGTGTCCATTAGAAGACTTCATTCTCATTTCAGTGGCTACACAAACAAGCTGAGGCACGAAGAGCAATGAATACTGATATTCCTGAACTTTCTGATTTAAAAGAAGAAGAAAAGAACCCAGAGTGGTTAAAGGACAAAGGAAAGTAAGTAGTTTGAATTCTGGTCAAGAGATTTATAATGTATGTAGACATTAGTAGTTATCATATTTTCTGGATGTTTGACCCGTCAGACTGTGTGTGTGTGTGTGTGTGTGTGTGTGTGTGTGTGTGTGTGTGTGGTTAGGGAAAGATAATTCAAATAAGCAAATAAAGTAGGCAGGGGTATCAGGCAGGTGGGAGGGAGAGGAGGGGGTGGGTAAATTCACACCTAACTGGTGCTGTGCATGCTGTCTGGGGGACGGACACACTTGTAGCTCTGACTCAGGAGGTGCAAAGGCAATTTATGTAACCAAAGCCTTTGTACCCTTGTAATATTCTGAGATAAAAAAAATAAATGAGTCAGATAATATAACATTTAAATAAGACTCTTATTATTTTTATTTAAATGTTAGAAAAATGAAAAAAAACAACCTTTGAAATGCTTATTAAAATCCCTTTTAAAATCACTTTAAAGTTTTTAATTTTGGGGTTTTTTTTCCTAGTTATTTATTTATTGATTGATTGAGACAGAGTCTCACTCTGTTGCCTGGGCTAGAGTGCCATGCGTCAGCCTAGCTCACAGCAACCTCAAACTCTGTAGGATAGGCACTGAGCTACAGAGATCAGGAGTGAGACTTACAACATTAAACAAATATAACACGGTGTGGGGTGTGGGAAGTACAATAACATAGATAAGAACAAGGTAATTTAACAGTATGAAAGAGGGGCAGCTAACCTTCCAGGGGGGGAGATAAGCTCAGGAAAAGCTTTAAAGTAGCCCTTGATATACACTGATAATCAGTGTGATTAGCAAAAAAAAAAAAAAAAAGAATAAAAATAAATAAATAAATAAAGTAGCACTTGAACCCCTCTTAATGATAAGTAGGAGTTTTGAGAGGAATGGAGAGAAAGGCATTATTCATTTAAGGTAGAGGTGACAGTATGAGAAAAAGCTCAAAGACTAGAAATATTATAATATAGTATAGGTCAGAAGCTGTGGTAGTTTAGTCTTTGCTAAATATAAAATTCAAAGTTAGGAGTGATAACAAATGAACCTAGAAAAATAGAGGCCTCCAGAGATTGGTTATGATTCTTAGATTTTTATCCCATAAGGTGGGGAAAAAATTTGTTGCAGAAACCCAGGCAAAGACCTTGAACTATGATATTATTATAGAGAAGGGGTAATTTGGGAAATGTTTGAAAGGTAAAATGGGCAGAACTTTTTGATTGATTGTTGGAGAGTAAGAGAGAAGTAGTTATGGGTGACTTTCAGATTTTTAGTTTGAATGACTGATTGTGTGATATCACCAAATGAATTAGAGAGTACTAGAAGAGGGGCTAGTTAGGAGGGAATGCAAGTAAGTTTACTTTTAAATATGTTGAGTTTGAGATGTCTCAGAGTTTCAGTCTGGGTAACAATATGCAGCAAGGTTGAAACTTGGGAGAGGTCAGCACTGTAGATAAATCTTTGGAGTTTATCATCATTTATATAGTAGTTGAATTTATAAGAGTGGGTGAGATACCCTAAAAGAATGTGTAGACTCAGGAGAGTAGTGAACTGAGGATAAAACCCTGTGAGCTATCAACATTTAAAGGACTGACAAACGAAAAGAGCATAAAAAATGCTCCCAGAGGCCAATGAGTAGAAACTTTAAGGGAAGAGTCTTTGTTTTGTTTTATTCTACCTTAAGAATAGAAAAGATTTGAATAAGTTTGGAGACAGGAGAAAGAAGAGGTGATTGATACATCTCTAAGAAGAGTGGAGAAAATTGGGTCAAGGCTAAGTGTAGATGGATTGTTTTGATTTTGTTTTTGTTTTTCTTCTTTTTATTTTATTTTATTTTTTAGAGACAGGGTCTCACTATGACGTTTAGGCTGATCTTGAACTCCTGGCCTCAAGCAGTCCTCCTGCCTGGGCTTCCCAAAGTGCTGGGATTGCAGGCATGAGCCACTGCACCTGGCCTGTTTTTCGTCTTTTTAAAAGTTGCATTAATTTTATAATACAAAAAAAATTCCTTTTGAAAAAAATTCACACAGTCCATATTAAATGAACCCTCCCCCCTTGGTTTTGGGTCTCCTGCCTGCATAGTAAATGAAAGTCCCTCTTGGTTTTGGGTGTCCTGCTGACCCTGCCCCTAACTATAACCAAATGATTTTTTTAAAAATTGCATTTGCTTATCTTTAAGCTGCCACTGTCATAATCACAGTTAATATATTAATAGCTTATTATAGTTCACAAGAGCTTTCACATATACTAGCTCATTAAATCCTCACAACTGTAGTTGGGTAGAACCCACTGCATTTGCACTCATTTAACAAATGCCTATTAAGAAATTAGCAACTTTGCACAATATAGCTCACTTAATTTCCATAATAACCTGACTAGTTGGATATTATTGTTTTTATCACCATTTTTAGAAGCATGGAAATAGGGCTAGGGAGGTTAGGAAACTTGGCTAAGATGGTAGTTAGTAATTAGAACCAGGATTCAATCCTAGGTCAATATGACTTTGAAGCTTGTGTTCTAGTGGTATCCTTTCACATATGAATAAAATATACTTCCTGCCCATTCATTCCATTCGTTCCAGCCCAAGTGGTTTGACCATGAATTGCTCCTTGCAGCCTGGGAGTGCCTAAGTGGGCATAGCTGAGTGTGCCAATCTGTTGGATTGCTTACTTTGCTCTAGAAAATGTTGACATATTAACTTGAGATAGGCAGAGATACTTCACTTTCTCAGATTGGAGGAAAGAAAGTAAAGTAAAGTATGGATATAGGTAAGTAAGTTTCTAACAACGAGGGACATTGATTAGTGGGTACTGTTGAGGGCCCTGCTAGGTTCCAGAACAAGAATTAATAGAGATGCCAGTCAATACAGCCATGTGACTGTCTCCTACAGTGGCAAACCAGTCAGTCATTGAAAAAATTATAGTAATGTTTGCATTTGTCCATGTCTCCTTTTTTCCTATTGTGTGCTCAGTACCATAAGCACTTAATATGTGTTGAATGAATGAGTACTTTTGTGTAATTCCTTCACTCACTTTGCCTTATTTAGAGTATCATGGAGACTAAATGATTATTAGATTTTCTGCTTAAATTATGTGTTCAAAGGCTGTTCCCCTTTATTTTTTTTTTTTTTTTTTTTTTATTTTTCACATAGTATGAATGTACTTAAGGCTGTTCCCCTTTAGACAGAGGTTTAATTTTTTTCCCTTTCATTTTGAACTTTAGCTATTTCTTTTATTTGTTTGTTTGTTTGAGACAGAGTCTCGATTTGTTGCCCAGGCTAAAAGTGAGTGCCGTGGCGTCAGCCTAGCTCATAGCAACCTCAAACTCCTGAGCTCAAGCGATCCTACTACCTCAGCCTCCCAAGTAGCTGGGACTACAGGCATGTGCCACCATGCCCGGCTAATTTTTTTCTCTATATATTAGTTAACCAATTAATTTCTTTCTATTTATAGTAGAGATGGGGTCTTGCTCTTGCTCAGGCTGGTTTCAAACTCCTGACCATGAGCAATCCGCCCGCCTTGGCCTCCCAGAGTGCTAGGATTACAGGCGTGAGCCACCACGCCTGGCCAGAACTTTAGCTATTTCTGAGTTCAGAACTATTCTGAAAGCTATAAACAAAATTTTGGATGCTTGTAGTGGTATTAAATTTTAAGGTGTATGATGTTTATTTAGATTTATAATATATGTGTAAATATTTAAAAATTTTTAAATGCTTTATATTTTCTGCTATTATGGCTTGTATAATGGTTCTTTTAATACTAATCATTATAAGCTCTTTTTCCCTTAGATCCTGGGAGAGTTTTTCCGATAAAACTGTTACATTACATGACTGTAAATCTATATTGAAGATGAAAAATGGAAATGTTCTTAAATATTAATATAAGTTTTATACAGACATGTAGACCAATAGAATAGATAGCCCAGAAACAAACCCTCGAATATATGGTCAAATGATTTTCCACAAGGGTGCCAAAACTGTCAATAGGGAAAGGACAGGCCTTTCAACAAATGGTATTGTGAAAACCAGATATTCTCATGAAAAAAGGATGAAGTTGAGGATTAGTGTGGTAGTTTATACCTGTAATCCTAGCATTTTGGGAGGCTGAGGCAGGAGGATTGCCTGAGGCCAGGAGTTTGAGGCTGCAGTGAGCTATGATAGTGCCACAGCACTCCAGCCTAGGTGACACTGCAAGACCTTTTCTCTAAAATAAATAAGTAAATAATAAATAAATCCTTTAATCATATACATTTATTTGAAGACAGTTTTGGAATATTTGAACTAAAATAGCATATCCATTGCAAGTAACCAAAAACCCAATTCAAACTGGCTTTATATTAAAAGGAATTTATTGGCTTGGTGCGGTGGCTCATGCCTGTAATCCTAGCACTCTGGGAGACCAAGGAGGGAGGATCGCTCAAGGTTAGGAGTTCGAAACCAGCCTCAGCAAAAGTGAGACCCCCGTCTCTACTAAAAATAGAAAGAAATTAATTGGCCAACTAAAATTATATAGAAAAAACTAGCCAGGCATGATGGTGTGTGCCTGCAGTCCCAGCTACTTGGGAGGCTGAGGCAGAAGGATTGCTTGAGCCTAGGAGATTGAGGTTGCTGTGAGCTAGGCTGACGCCAGGGCACTCCAGCCAGGGCAACAGAGTGAGACTCTGTCTCAAAAAAAAAAAAAAAAAGAAATTTATTTTCTTATGTGCCTAAAAAGATAAAGGTATTTTGAATTTCAGATAAAGCTTGACCTAGCAGCTTAAGTGTATCATGAAAGACTTTGCTTCTTTCTGCCTTTTTATTCCTTTCACACTTCCCTAGTATCAGCTTAATTTAATGCTACCTCTTCCCGTGTTGTTGTTAATGGTCAGGAACAATTTGGGTTATTTGCTTTCTTCATTCATATCCAGCAGGGGGAGAAGTTTTCCTAACTTTTCATTCTCCAACTTTGAAACCAAAGCCACAGGCTTCATTCTAAATAGATCACAAGTGCATTCCCAAATCAATCATTGTAGCAAGGAAGATGGAAATATGCTTACTGGCTTAAAAATACTGATGGCTACCCTTGGATGGGGGTTAGGTCCATCCCATTCACATTACAGGCTGGTGTATGTGAAAGAGAGATGGAGTTAGTGCAGCTAATAATGTCTACCCTATAGGGAATACAAAAAGAGGTAAGTCATCCCCTCTGCCAAATATTGTTGGCTATTATTTCTGTGTTTCTGTTTCAATGTTATAATTTTTTTCTTTTTTGTTTTTGTTTCATTAGCAAGTTGTTTGCAACAGAAAACTATTTGGCAGCTATTAATGCATACAACTTAGCCATAAGATTAAATAATAAGATTCCACTATTGTATTTGAATCGGGCCGCTTGCCACCTAAAACTAAAAAACTTACACAAGGCTATCGAAGATTCTTCTAAGGTATTTATATCTTTTTACATATGGTGCTTTAAAATTAGCCTCCTTTTTTATTGGTTTAAATGATGTTCTTTTTCTGTTAAACAATTGAGATGCAAGGATTTTAAGAATCATTTTGCTTATTACATCTTTTTACTGATTTATTTTAAATAGACAAAGAACTGGATTTTTTTTTTTTTTTTTTGAGACTTCAAGTTAAATTAGAAATCAACTATCACTAGGCCAGGCGCAGTGGCTCACGCCTGTAATCCTAGCACTCTGGGAGGCCAAGGCAGGCGGATTGATCAAGGTCAGGAGTTTGAAACCAGCCTGAACAAGAGCGAGACCCTGTCTCTACTATAAATAGAAAGAAATTAATTGACCAACTAATAGATATAGAAAAAATTAGCCTAAATAGAAAGAAATTAATTGGTCAACTAATATATATAGAAAAATATATAGAAAAAATTAGCCGGGCATGGTGGCGCATGCCTGTAGTCCCAGCTACTCGGGAGGCTGAGGCAGAAGGATTGCTTGAGCCCAGGAGTTTGAGGTTGCTGCGAGCTAGGCTGATGCTATGACACTCACTCTAGCCTGGGCAACAAAGCGAGAGTCTGTCTCAAAAAAAGAAAAGAAATCAACTATTACTGTATTGCCTTGGTATATCAGTTGAAGTTCATAAGGAAATTAGTAAATGGCTGTCAGTTGTGCTCACCCTTTTTCTTTATTAAGTTTTGCTAAGTTAGTATAAGGTGGAAGAGAGAATAGTTGGTATTCCCTTGTTATCTCTAATACTTGTACAGTAAAAGTTTACCTCTATAATCATTTTCAGGGTAAGTTAGTACGTTCTAATTTCCACTACTAAAATATTTCATGTGAATGTATTAAACTTCTATAGCTTTTTCTTTTTTCAATGTCAAGGTAGCTTGTTTTAAGGGAGTATCATGTACAAAATCTCTTATGTGCTTCCTTGAGATTGAGGATATGGAGGACACAACCAAATCCTTATACTTTGATCTCATAATATTTTTATGATCTAGCTTTTCTTTTACTAGCACAGTACAAATATTTACTGAATGAATGAATAAACTGAATCACCCAATCTGAATACAAAAGCCCACAAATGCTATTTAATCATTCTTGCTAGTAAAGGTAAAGCTGTTGAGATTTCAAATGATAAGCCAGATCATAAGTTTGGGAAGGTATGACTCCCATATAGGAAGAATAGAAAAGTTCCTTAAATTGTTCAACATAAATATATCTATTTGATAAATTCCTATACCAGCTAAGCCAAAACTTTAGGTATGTGAGGGCTTGAGGCTTGTTTTAAAATTAGAATTTTTCCCATGTTTTTGCTCAAATTTAAATTAGGAAGTTATGTCTTTCTCTTATTAATTATATATATATATATATTTTTTTTTTTAAGGCACTGGAATTATTGACACCACCTGTTGCAGACAATGCTAATGCAAGAATGAAGGCACATGTACGACGTGGAACAGCATTCTGTCAACTAGAATTGTATGTAGAAGGTAAGAAATTGATAGAGATATTTTAAGTTCCAAGTTATACTCTGAAAATAATGTTATTGGGATTATTTAAGAGCATGACTTCTTAGGACTCAATGTTTTATATTTTTAGCATTTGATTTATTCTTTGCTGCTGGGCACTGTGGCTCATGCCTGTAATCCTAGCACTTTGGAAGGCTGAGACAGGAGAATTGCTTGAGGCTAAGAGTTTGAGACCATTCTGGGCAACGGAGCAAGTCTCTGTCTCTACAAAAATATGGGAAATGAGCTGGGCATGGTGGTGTGCGCCTATAGTCCCAGCTACCCAGGAGGCTGAGACGGGAGGATTGCCTGAACCCAGGAATTTGAGCTATGATGACACTACTGCACTCCAGCATGGACAACAGAGTGAGACCCTGTCTCATAAAGAAAAAAAAAATCCATTCTTTGCAATATCTACAATGTATCTGACAAAATAAAAAGTGATTTTGAACTTATATTTTAAGAATTAATTAGAAGGGGCCTGGCGCGGTGGCTCACGCCTGTAATCCTAGCTCTCTGGGAGGCCGAGGTGGGTGGATCATTTGAGCTCAGGAGTGTGAAACCAAACTGAGAAAGAGCAAGACCCCGTCTCTACTATAAATAGAAAGAAATTCATTGGCCAACTAATATATATAGAAAAAATTGGCCTGGCATGGTGGCACATGCCTGTAGTCCCACCTACTTGGGAGGCTGAGGCAGGAGGATTGCTTGGGCCCAAGAGTTTCAGGTTGCAATGAGCTATGATGATGCCACTGCACTCTAGCCTGGGCAACAGAGCAAGACCCTGTCTCAAAAAAAAAAAAAATTCATTGTAGAAGAGAATTAAAACAAGATGTGAACAAGTTTTAGTTTAGGATAATGCTGTATTATCAGACAACTTTTCTACAGAAAGATACGTGATAAAGGATGTAAATAATTCACTTGAGATATACTGGAAATTTTTAAATGTACTACCTGGGGCATACCGTATATGTGTGTTTGTGTGTGTGTATTTGTGTGTGTATATACATATATGTAAGCTCAGAAATAACTGATCTATTGTATATGAACATTGCTTATATTTATGAGACTATACTAAGATCTGTAATTCAGTCCCACATATATAGAAGCCATAGCATGTATTTATTTCATTTTTAATATATTTAGGGACTACTTACAATTACTCATGTTGCCCCTAAGGCAAAATTTTTTAGTAGCCAACGTTTACATCTGAAGTCCCTCTTTCCATTCCTCCCTACCCAGATGCCCGTTAGAGTTTCCCTTCAGTCGAAGTTCAGAGGCCTCCTCTTGATGGCCATGCCAAGGAATGCGCTACAGCCTGTACATTTTTATTATCTCTGATTTTGTTTTTAAACTTGGTTTGGCCATTTTTAGGAGGTTTTTCTAACCAAAGCATCCAATTAGTTTTATATATCCCATCCTTTTTAAAATGTCTTAATCCAGCTTCATGAGGATAAAGATGATCAAGACAGGAATGAAGCATTGCAAACCATTCTTTAGAAATTATGGCATCATACAAGGTCCCCTCATTTTAAAGATGAGAAAATGGGCCGGGCGTGGTGGCTCACGCCTATAATCCTAGCACTCTGGATCTTAGCACTCGAGCAGATTGCTCGAGGTCAGGAGTTTGAAACTAGCCTGAGCAAGACCCTGTCTCTACTAAAAATAGAAAGAAATTAATTGACCAACTAAATATATATACAAAAAATTAGTTGGGCCGGGCATGGTGGCTCACGCCTGTAATCCTAGCACTTTGGGAGGCCGAGGCGGGCGGATTGCTCAAGGTCAGGAGTTCGAAACAGCCTGAGCGAGACCCCGTCTCTACCAAAAAATAGAATAAATTAATTGACCACTAAATATACAATATACAAATAGATACCGGCATGGTGGCGACATGCCTGTAGTCACAGCTATACTCGGGAGGCTGAGGCAGTAGGATCGCTGAGCCCCGGAGATTGAGGTTGCTGTGAGCCAGGCTGACGCCACGGCACTCACTCTAGCCGGGCAACAAAATGAGACTCTGTCTCAAAAAAAAAAAAGAAAAAATTTGTTGGGCATGGTGGCACATGCCTATAGTCCCAACTACTTGGGAGGCTGAGGCAGCAGGATCTCTTGAGCCCAGGAGATTGAGGTTGCTGGCACTCACTCTAGCCTGGGCAACAAAGTGAGACTGTGTCTCAAAAGTAAATAAATAAATAAATAAAGATAAGAAAATGGAGGCTTGGAGAAATCAAATGATTTGCCCAATGTAACATAGCAAATCAATAGCATTTTAGGACTAGAATTCAGGTTTCCTTACTCTCAAAGAAATTTTCTTTCCATTGCTTTTTTGGGTAAAGATTGATTCACTTCCATATTTTTAACAAGTAGTCAACAATGATTTCATATTTTACCAGTTTTTCTCAAAGGAATTCTATAGAAGAAGTACTACAGAAGAAGTACATAGAAAACTATAGAAGAAGTACATAACACATTCTAGTTTATGAATTATATAAAGTGTGGATTGAATCTACAAAAATTATTTTTACTTTTTTTTTGACCCAGAATTTCACTACATTGTCCTGAGTAGAGTGCAGTGGCGTCAGCCTAGCCCACAGCAACCTCAAACTCCTGGGCTCAAGCAATACTTCTGCCTCAGCCTCTCGAGTAGCTGGGACTACAGGTGTGCACCATGACACCCGGCTAATTTTTTTATATTTTTAGTAGGGACAGGGTCTTGCTCTTGCTCAGGCTGGTCTTGAACTCCTGAGCTTGAGTGGTCTTCCCACCTCAGGATTATAAGCATGAGCCACTGTGCCCAGCCAAAAATAATTTTAAAATCTAGATTTCTAAATAAGATGACATTTATTACTTTTTTACTAAAGCAATTAAAATGTTGTGTGTAGATTTATATATATATATATGTTTTTTTAATGAAACCTGTTCCTGTTTTAATAACTTTAAGCTTTTAGATTATTTGTGCCTGAATTTAAAATAACTGCTTCTTACTGAACCCTGAGAGAAATCATAATTATTTCTAAAATCACTGAAAAATTTCTGCAATCTTATAGAGATACTACTATGTGTGTAAAGATGGGAATCTGATTTAAAACTTGGTATTTGTCCTGAACTATGTTACTAGTTGTTATTTTTATTTAAAAAAATATTATCTAGATAAGACCAATACTTATAAAATACTTATTGATCATCATTGCTATATAAATATAGGCCTACAGGATTATGAAGCTGCACTTAAGATAGAGACTCTTCTTAGGACTCAATGTTTTATATTTTTAAGCATTTGATTTATTCTTGGCTGCTGGCGCACTGTGGCTCATGCCTGTAATCCTAGCACTTTGGAAGGCTGAGACAGGAGAATTGCTTGAGGCTAAGAGTTTGAGACATTCTGGGCAACGGAAGCAAGTCTTGTCTCTACAAAATATGGAAATGAGCTGGGCATGGCTGGTGCGCGCCTATAGTCCCAGCTACCCAGGAGGCTGAGACGGGAGGATTGCCTGAACCAGGAATTTGAGCTATGATGACACTACTGCACTCCAGCATGGACAACAGAGTGAGACCCTGTCTCATAAAGAAAAAAAAAATCCATTCTTTGCAATATCTGCATGTATCTGACAAAATAAAAAGTGATTCTGAACTTATATTTAAGATTAATTAGAAGGGCCTGGCGGGTGGCTCACGCCTGTATCCTAGCTCTCTGGGAGGCGAGGTGGTGATCATTTGAGCTCAGGAGTGTGAAACCAACTGAGAAAGAGCAGACCCCGTCTCTACTATAAAGAAAGAAATTCATTGGCCAACTAATATATATACGAAAAATTGCTGGCATGGTGGCACAATGCCTGTTAGTCCACCTACTTGGGAGGCTGAGGCAGGAGGATTGTTGGGCCAAGAGTTTCAGGTTGCAATGAGCTATGATGATGCCACTGCAGCCTCTAGCCTGGCAACAGAGCAAGACCTGTCTCAAAAAAAAAAAAATTCATTGTAGAGAGAATTAAACAAGCAAGATGTGAACAAGTTTTAGTTTAGGATAATACTGTTTATCAGACAACTTTCTACAGAAAATACGTGATAAAGGATGTAAATAATTCACTTGAGTATACTCGGAAATTTTAAATTACTACTGGGGCATACCGTATATGTTGTGTTTGTGTGTGTATTTGTGTGTGTATATACATATATGTAGCTCAGAAATAACTGATCTATTGTTATGAACATTGCTTATTTTATGAGACTATACTAAGATCTGTAATTCAAGTCCCACATATATAGAAGCCATAGCATGTTATTTCATTTTTAATATATTTAGGGACTACTTACAATTACTCATGTTGCCCCTAAGGCAAAAATTTTTTAGTACCAACGTTTACATCTGAAGTCCTCTTTCCATTCCTCCTACCCACGATGCCCGTTAGAGTTTCCCTTCAGTCGAAGTTCAGAGGCTCCTCTTGAGGCCATGCCAAGAATGCGCTACAGCCTGTACATTTTATTATCTCTGATTTTGTTTTTAAACTGTTTGGCCATTTTTAGGAGGTTTTTCTAACCAAAGCATCCAATTGTTTTATATACCCATCTTCTTTAAAATGTCTTAATCCAGCTTCATGAGGATAAGATGATCAGACAGGAATCGAACATTGCAAACCATTCTTTAGAATTATGGCATCATACAAGGTCCCCTCATTTTAAAGGATGAAAATGGGCCCGGCGTGGTGGCTCACGCCTATAATCTAGCACTCTGGATCTTAGCACTCGAGCAGATTGTCGAGGTCAGGAGTTTAAACCTAGCCTGAGCAAGACCTGTCTCTACTAAAAATAGAAAGAAATTAATTGACCAACTAATATATATACAAAAAATTAGTTGGGCCCGGCATGGTGGCTCACGCCTGTAATCCTAGCATTGGAGCCGAGGCGGGCGGATTGCTCAAGGTCAGGAGTTCGAAACCAGCCTGAGCGAGACCCCGTCTCTACAACAAAAATAGAATAATAAT